AACTGTAAAATAGAGAAGCATTTTGTGTTTAGCATCATGCAGGATAAGCCACTAATGGCATTTTAAGACTTCACAGAATTTTGACATACATGTACATGCATAAGAAATAATTGATGGATTTAGCAAGTACGCTTTACTAATAGCAAAACTTCAGTTTTTATGCTCAAGCTCGATAATTTTGGTTACTCTACACATGTAGGAGTAGCTAGGATGCTGCATACATGTACATGTCTATACAGTACTGATTACTCATACAGAAATACCCAGATTTTAACATATTTGTCAATATGGTTTCACTTAATTTTAGCAACTTTGTAGAAAGCTACTGCACTATACAGTGATAATTATTTGAGACTTTTCAGTGGTGTTTGTAATATCAGTTCATGGTATCAGTTCCTTAGTAGTATTAGTGAAGTGTCTGTTATAGTGTCAGCATGCATTGCTAACTTAAACCAGTGTCATCACTCATCAGTACTTCTACATTATGCATGTCATAAATATGCTTGCATTTCAATTGGAATTATGTATTTCAATGTTTTCACTGCTGCTACATGTATCTTTTATATGATTGTTATTCTTTTACTAAAAGCAAAATGGTTATTGATGATACCAGCTCTAAGATCAAATTACGTAATCTTGAGTTCCAATTATATTCATTAGCATATCAGGTGCACATGCCACACAGAGGTATAAGCAGGCATCCAGCCCCACCCCAAGTTCATTTGACCAAACTGCTTCACTATGAAGCTTTGTTCAAATACAGTTTCCTTTGTGTTACTGGTTCTTCTTGCAGTATTATCATTAGGATTTGCTTGTACTGATGGAAGCATTCGCTTAGTTGGAGGAACGAATAATCTAGAAGGACGTGTTGAAGTATGCAGTGGTGGATCATGGGGTACTGTCTGTGATGATTACTGGGACATCAGTGATGCAACTGTTGTCTGTAGACAACTTGGATATGAATCAGGTAAATAAATATGCAGCAGAAAAAAACAACACAATATATAATTTAGCTGTATCTGCCCTGGGGAGTGCCTACTTTGGACAAGGAAGTGGATCAATTGTGATGGACAATGTCCAGTGTGATGGAAGTGAATCTTACCTTACAAACTGTACACACATCACAAATCACAACTGTGTTCATGCTGAAGATGCAGGAGTCAGATGTGCAGGTAAGTGTTTTAGCATTCATACTGTATATGCTACTTAACTTCTTCATGATTAGCATGTACTACTGGATCAATCCGTCTTGTTGGTGGTTCACATGATTGGGAAGGAAGAGTGGAAGTGTGTGATAGTGGATCATGGGGCACGGTCTGTGATGATCTCTGGGACTCCCCTGATGCAGCAGTAGTGTGTAGACAACTAGGCTGGGGAACAAGTGAGTTGATTCCTTTTGACAATGAATGATATATTGTGACAGGTGGAACTGCTCGATCAAGTGCCTACTTTGGTCAGGGTACTGGTAGTATTCTCCTGGATAATGTTCAGTGCACAGGAACAGAAGAGTTTTTGACAAACTGCACACACTTGAGTACTCACAACTGTGGACACTATGAGGATGCTGGAGTAACTTGTCACGGTTAGTTTTCAGAATCCATTTGTGCTGTTAATAGATGTTGATTCAGTTTGTACTTCCGGTTCTCTTCGTCTTGTTGGTGGATCAAACTCGAACGAGGGAAGAGTTGAACTGTGTCAAAATGGAAGGTGGGGTACAGTGTGTGATAACTACTTTGACAACACTGATGCTGGAGTTGTATGTAGACAGCTTGGTCTAGGAACAAGTGAGTTAGCTAATATGATGTGTTGTGAGTAGTTTCTTGTGATTAATTTTAGCTGGGACAGTTCATGGCAGTGCATACTTTGGTCAGGGAAATGGATCAATATTATTGGATGATGTTGCGTGTGATGGAACTGAACAGTTTCTTGCAAACTGCTCACACACTTCAAATCACAACTGTGGACACTCAGAAGATGTAGGTGTCACTTGCATTGCTCCTCCCTCAATTAATTCACTCAGTTCTACTATGTATTTTTCAACTGTCTCAGATTCTTCTACCATGGCCTCTAGCTCAGAAATAATTGCTTCTTCTACTGAAGTACTAACAAGTTCTGAGGTTGTTTCTTCAACACAACCTTCGTCAAGCACCATTGCTCTTAACTCAGGAAGTGCTTCTTCTAGTGAAATATTAACAAACTCCGAAGCTGTGTCTTCTACTCCACAACCTTCAAGCACCATTGTCTCTAGTTCATTTGTCTCTTCTACTAAAGTAATGACAACTTCTAGTTCACTTATAAACACTGCAGTGTCATTTTCCTCACCAGTAACAACCCCTACTGCATCTCGATTAGTCTCACGTAGCAAGACCCAGTTCCACGAGACTACTTCTCAATCTGAAAAATTTTCCACTAGTAATAAAAGCCCTGAAACTTCTCATGCACCTACCAGCTCAGTAAAAGTGTCACAGTCACCTACAAAAGTGCCAATGTTGTATCTAGACTATAGTATTAGAATTTCTTTAAGTGGATTCAGTATAGCTACCGTAAGTATAGTTTTTGATAATAATTTAGTAATGTTATGTTGGTTTATCTTTGTAGTTTACAGAAAGCATTCTGCTTAATTTTAAAATAGCAACGGTAGAATCAGTCAATAGCTATTGTAGTTCAAGGACTAGAGAATGTTCAGTGATAAATTTATCAAGAGAGAGACAGTAAGTGTACCTCTAATATCAATTATACTCAGTGCCATATATTGTAGGAGTTTATGGATACCAATATCAGCTGATAATGTTAAGATTTATAACATCACAGAGAACTCAAATAATGGAATAGATATCATATTCTATGTGACAATATCTGATAACTCTGTACTGTCTGCTGATGATTTATATAATGCTGTTCAGGTACAAAAAATATATATTTCTATATACTGGTATATGTATAATTACACTGATACTTAGGGAGGCATTAATGATGGCACATATAGAAATGCAGGATTTAGTGGAGCTACTACTACTCTCTTGGAAAACCCAACTGATCCAACATCTTCAACAACACAATCATTAAATCCTGGATTGCTTGCTGCCATTGTTGTATCAGTGTTATTCATCCTTATACTCTTTCCAATTATTATCTTAGCAATTATTTATATGAGGTATATATAAGAAATTATAATGTTTTTGTGCTATACTCACCATCACTTTAGGAAAAAATGTAAAAGAAACGATGGATACAGTGAAGTTCCCCTAAGAGAGAACTGTATGAACAATGATATTTTCTCTGAATCCTCAGAGAATAACACAATTGGAGAAGATGTAACGCTAAGAGGCTTGTATGTTCAGACTGATGAGAATGAGAGAGTACAAAGCTTTAACCCAGCATTTGACAAAGATGCTGATGAAAGGAAGTATATGTATGATTTTGTTGAAAATGAGGAAAAAGAAACTACCTCTTTTTATTAATAAAATAATGTTCTTGTTTTTGTTAATCATTGAATTATGTTTGTTTCATAACTGGTCAAAATCAGTTAAAACTTAAGGAAGATGTGGAGTTTGGAGTAGAACATTCTCCCAATGCATCCCAACTAGTAGATAAAACATATTAAAGACAAAATTAAATTGAAATAACTTGCTATAGAGTACTCTATCATTCTTTACTCTCCATTATCTATGTGAGTTGCTTCTCTAACCCCGCCCACTAGCAATGCCACACTTGTACACGTGGTTTTGGGTGTTGACATTGGGTGAAGGCAGTCAGGTGTGTAAAGAGCTTTCAGCTCTGAAGTCTCAAGTCTGTAACTAAGTAAAAAAGTAAATTGTGGGTATGTTAAGTTTAATATCAGCTTTTGGAAGGGCTGATTAGTGGTAGCTGCTGATGCCTACTCATTATATATGTGTATTAATGAGTTGCCCTGCAGTTTAGGAGGGTGTGGTCTGCATGGTTAGTACTGTTATGTGAGATCAAGACTATTACAGCAGATTTCACTTGCATTTGAACAGTGCATGTTGCGTTAGGATCACATGAGCCTAATAAACCATGTAAACTCACGCCTCATGCAATGACCCAAATGAAGTGAAATTGGCTGTATTATAGAGCTCTTGTGTGGTTGTAATAAATGGGAGGGTAGAGCTAAATTGTCTGCCATGTTGAGTGGCAGGAAAAGTACACTCAATGAATGGAAATATGGAAACAAACTGCATGGGATTTTCATAAAGAAGATATCATGTTTAGCTGTAGAATATTATAGAGAGTTCTTCACTCGATAAATGTACCTTCATCTCATACCTTTTTAGCCTGGAATGTCAACTGCAGAATTCATTAAGATTCTTGTCTCTGTTCTCTTTATTCCGCCATGTACATTTTTGCCACTCAACATGACCAACAATAGAGCTCAAATATAGCTCCACCCTCATTGTTGATTACTTCTGTCTAAAGAGCTCTATTGGCTAATATATATGGTTAATATGCAGATTATATCCCAGGTTCCCCAAAATGGCTGCCAAGTTTTTGTATTCATGTGGTACCAATAAAATCTCATGTTGTACATGTATTTAATTGAGTGATTATGATTTTCTTTATGTTTTTAAAAAATTAAGGCTGATCCAATTAAATTCATGATTTCCATTTCACAAGTGGGCGGGTGATAAAGTAGGTGTAGAAGTACATGCAGGCAATTATGAGAAACAATCAATTTACATGTATATGGAATTGGTTGCTGTTGCTTACTTTATGTTTGTGTTTAGATACCAAAGCTCAAAGCTTTGAAACCACTGCCCTAGCTGTCATCTATTACATATGCATGTCATAGTGCATTATTCTGTTTACAATTATTCCAATTACCCTAACAGCTCATTATTTCCATTGCAAGTTGCTGTGGCAACTGTAAAATAGAGAAGCATTTTGTGTTTAGCATCATGCAGGATAAGCCACTAATGGCATTTTAAGACTTCACAGAATTTTGACATACATGTACATGCATAAGAAATAATTGATGGATTTAGCAAGTATGCTTTACTAATAGCAAAACTTCAGTTTTTATGCTCAAGCTCGATAATTTTGGTTACTCTACACATGTAGGAGTAGCTAGGATGCTGCATACATGTACATGTCTATACAGTACTGATTACTCATACAGAAATACCCAGATTTTAACATGTTTGTCAATATGGTTTCACTTAATTTTAGCAACTTTGTAGAAAGCTGCTGCACTATACAGTGATAATTATTTGAGACTTTTCAGTGGTGTTTGTAATATCAGTTCATGGTATCAGTTCCTTAGTAGTATTAGTGAAGTGTATCAGCATGCATTGCTAACTTAAACCAGTGTCATCAATACTTCTACATTATGCATTTCATAGGCATGCTTGCATTTCAATTGGAATTATGTATTTCAATGTTTTCATTGCTGCTACATGTATCTTTTATATGATTGCTATTCTTTTACTAAAAGCAAAATGGTTATTGATGATACCAGCTCTAAGATCAAATTATGTAATCTTGAGTTCCAATTATATTCATTAGCATATCAGGTGCACATGCCACACAAAGGAATAAGCAGGCATCCAGCCCCACCCCAAGTTTATTTGACCAAACTGCTTCACTATGAAGCTTTGTTTAAATACAGTTTCCTTTGTGTTACTGATTCTTCTTGCAGTATTATCATTAGGATTTGCTTGTACTGATGGAAGTATTCGATTAGTTGGTGGAACAAATAATCTAGAAGGACGTGTTGAAGTATGCAGTGGTGGATCATGGGGTACTGTCTGTGATGATTACTGGGACATCAGTGATGCAGCTGTTGTCTGTAGACAGCTTGGATATGAAGCAGGTAACTAAATATTCAGCTTTAAAACAAACATAATGTACAATTTAACAGTATCTGCACTGGGGAATGCTTACTTTGGGCAAGGAAGTGGATCAATTGTGATGGACAATGTCCAGTGTGATGGAAGTGAATCTTACCTTACAAACTGTACACACATCACAAATCACAACTGTGTTCATTCTGAAGATGCAGGAGTCAGATGTGCCTGTAAGTATATTAGGTACATTTCTTTTAACTTCCTAATGCATAGTATGTACTACTGGATCAATCCGTCTTGTTGGTGGTTCACACGATTGGGAAGGAAGAGTAGAAGTGTGTGATAGTGGATCATGGGGCACTGTCTGTGATGATTACTGGGGCTCCCCTGATGCAGCAGTAGTGTGTAGGCAACTAGGCTGGGGAACAAGTGAGTTGATTCCTTTTGACAATGAATAATATATTGTGAAAGGTGGAACTGCTCGATCAAATGCCTACTTTGGTCAGGGTACTGGTAGTATCCTCCTGGATGATGTTCAGTGCACAGGAACAGAAGAGTTTTTGACAAACTGCACACACTTGAGTACTCACAACTGTGGACACTATGAGGATGCTGGAGTATCTTGTGATGGTTAGTTTTAAGATTCATTTGTGCTGTTAATAGATGTATTTATTGGTTCAGTTTGTACTTCTGGTTCTCTGCGTCTTATTGGTGGATCAAACTCTAGCGAGGGAAGAGTTGAACTGTGTCAAAATGGAAGGTGGGGTACAGTGTGTGATGACTCGTGGGACAACACTGATGCTGGAGTTGTTTGTAG